GCGAGCCCGGCCGTGGGCAGCGCAGGTGAGGCCGGGCCGGGGGCAGCTCCTTCCCGGGGTGGTGGGAGCAGCAGGGAGGGGAATGGCTGTTTCCCCCGCCCCTGCACACAGGATCGGGCCCGCCGCCGGAGGCAGCCGCGGGGCTTTCCTGTCCTCCAGCTCCTTCCCCTCCTCCTGCACCTGCCGCCCGGCTCCTGGCCTGCTTGCTCGCCCTGGGGGCTGGGCGCTGTGGACCGGCTGCCTCCGAGGCTGGCAGGCGCCTGCCCGGCATCTGGACGCTCCCGGTCGCTCGTCGGGAGTCTTCTCGGCCTCTCAGTCTGGGCACCAGGTTGGGCTTTGACCTGACCAGGCTTGCGGACCTCTCAGGTGGTCGTGCCCTCAGCGCTGGGCTGGGTTATAATCTCGGGAGCAGGCATGCGGCTGCACGGTCCGGCGCGTCCTGAGGGTGCTCGGTGGCGAAGGCTTCAGGAGAGCGACGCTGCCACCCGTGCCCAGGCCGGCGCGGCGTTTGCATCAGGACAGGCTCTGCACAAGCCTGTCGCGAGGATGTAGCAGGGGGCGTTTCTGCAGTGGGACCTGGCACGGCTGAGCGTGTGTGTAGGGCACGAATATATGCATGGGAGCCTGGCGGAGGGAATGGAGCCGGGCAGCTGCAGGGACTAGCGTGGCTTGTTGCAGCCTGGCGTGCACAGCAGCATCTCCAAGCTTGAAGCCTGCACGCTAAGAGTCGGGGCCTGGCTGACGGGAAGGAGCAAGCATCCGCCAAAGGCTGATCGAAGCCTTCCACCTGGCCGCCAGCATGTCGGAGGGTTGCAGTCTGCCCTTGTCCTATGTGCTCGAGGACCAGCGCGTGAGCCTGGGAGAAACGGAGACCGGGCACCGCTTTTCCAAGCTGTTCGGGGCCTGGCTGCGCTGGGCTCTTTGCGGAGAGCTTGGGGGTGGGCAGCGAGCCTCCATGCTTCTCGGCAGAGCTGCTGAACCTTCCAGATGTAACCTGTGGCCGTAACGCGGGTACAAGGTGGACATCCTGGGCCCGTGGGGTTTGTAGCAGCTGCGCGCAGCTGGATTTGGTGCCGGCACATTCTTCCCCCTTGCCTCTTTCTTTGGTGCTTTCCTGCTTTACAAGCTCTTTGCTTCATTTCTGGCCCCAGGCAGGAAGGGGTGGGCCTCGCGGTTGCAAAGACAAGGGTGGGATGCTTCTGACCAGATCTGTGCAGAGCGGCAAACTTTCTTGGGAGCTCTCTAAGGACTTCCTGGTTTGGGCTAAGCCCCTCCTAGGATTTCAGCCCTTGCTGCCCAGCTGCTTGCGAGCAGGAAGCAGGAGGGAGCTAAAAAAACAAAACAGCCCTTCGTTTGTTTGCATGTCAAATGAGTTCAGGATTGTTTTTTTTTATCCCCCGCCCCCCTCCAATCTGGCCCTTAACAGCAGAGATTCCTGCACTCATTAGTATCACGCGTGTTTATCTGGAAAGCTCGGTTTCCAAACTGTCCAAGCCCATCTGCATACCCCTTCCCTTGCTTTTCTGGGACGTGGAGAGGCCAGATGTATGCAGAAGCACGTGCTCTTGTAATAGCTGGGCACCCCTGGCTTGTTGCGGCTTGTCTGAATTGGGCTGGAAGGGCAGGGACTAGCTTGGTGTATGTGCAGCTCCCAGCACAGAGCACTCCTCATCTGCTTGCCGCTGAGACGCATGTGCTACATGATTTTAATGCTGGTTTGCAGCCTTCTCTGCTTGACATGGCGGGCCTGGGTTAGCTTTTTGCCCTTCGCGGCACCTAAAAAGGCCGGTGTGTGTTGTGGCTGGAGTACGGGTCTCGGTCCTCTGCTCAGTGGGGATAAAACCCCGGTTGGGAGCTTTGCCTGGTCTCTGGTGGAGCCTCCTGAGTCAGGTGTCTTTGAGGATGCCAATTTTCTAGCGGGGAGTTGGCTCGAGGTAAGCTGGTGCGATTCCCACACCAAGGGGGTGGGCTATGCAGGGTGACTTGCTGGAGGATGTGACGCTGTCTGTGGTGTCAGCCCGGAGCAGTTGAGGCTCGTGAGTCAATCTGCAAGAGAGGGCGTGCGGAAGATGTTGGGAGCTGAGCTCGTCTCTGCCTGTTGAACCCGGAGCCCTTTGGGGTCGGGCTTTTGAGCTCTGCCTCCAGGAGGGCTAGGAAATCCTTTTCAAGTGAAGATGGAGAGTCCCCTGTGATAGCAAGATGAGTAGCCAGGGCTTTGGTGAAAATCCCCAGAATTGCCAGCCCGGGGTTTTTATCACGTGAGTTTGCCCACGCTCGGTTTGCATGCATTTGCCTGCTTGCTTGCTTTGCTCCATCCACGGCTGTGCTGGGAAAGGGAAGCGGGCTTAAGTTGTGACCCAGGCTGCCGTCCACACCCCTGCGTCTCCTCCGGGCTGCTGCAGATCTGCGTTTGCTCAGATTGAATCGGATCTCCTGCCAATGCCTCTCTTGGGAAGGCAGAGCCAGCTTGCTTGGTCTCTTGGAGGTCTCGCCGATATAAACTGTACAGTCCCTAACTTTTTTTTTTTTGCCCTGTACTCCGAGGTTTATATTTTTCTCATCTGGCTTGTTACCCGCCGTTCTTCCCAGCACGGACAAATCCTCCAGCCAAACTCTGATCTCTCTTCTCGGCTCCTTCACCCCCTCTTCGTGTGCCGCTGCAGCTCTAGCTGCGGGGGGCAGGTGAGTCAGTCCTGCAGGCAGCCTTTCACCGCCTGGCAGACTCTGAAAGGCCTTGTTGCAGCTGGCTGGCCCTGCCTCAGCCTTTCTGTTGTCTTTTGAAGCTCAAAGGGATTGAAAGCCACCAGCCGACATGGCTTAGTTCTGCATTTTTTAGTTTTGCTCCCTGGAGGGGTGTGACCAGTGGAGATGGGGTGACTCAGTGTCTCAGTCCTGTCCTAGGACAATATGTTGTAGCTGGAATACAAATTTGTTGTGTTTGGGACCACAGGTTGGGCCTCGTGGGCTCCCTGGGTGGCCCTAACACTGATTTTGGGGGAAGAAGCAATTTGGGCAGCTCTCTGTTGCCGTTTCCTCCTCACCTCTGCCCAAACTTGCAAGCTGTCCCCATCATGCCCGTGGAGCGCCAAACCAGACACAAGCTCCCAAGGCTGTACCCAGCCCAGGGGGACCATCGGGACTTGAGCTCCATGCAGGGTCTGTGAATATCTCCTGTATTTCCTTCCTCCTTGTGACCTTGTTTTTGTGCTAAGGTATTAGGAGAGTTTGCAGATGCTGTGGCCTTGAATGTGAGACCCCCCTGGGCTGCTGACTGTATGCCTTAGCATCCACTCCCCTATGGCTGTGAATGAGCTTCAGAGTTTATATTCTGCTCATTGGTGTGATGGTAGCTCTTGCAGACAGGCTGGATCAGGGCCCTATGGAGCTGCATAACCTATAGATGATGCCAGTGCTTTCCCCAAAGAGAGCACAAGCTGAACCCCCCCTCCCCCCCCCAAACGGTGGTAAGCAAATGAGATCAATGAAGCTGCTTTTTGGCAGAGAGCAGCTAGAACGAGAGCCTCAGAGTCTGTTGATTCCCGGATCAGCCTTGTTGACCATCCTTGGACGCATAGATAAAGACGGTGATCTTCCACTGCAGGGGACTGCCAAAGAAACACAGTGCTGGGGGAGTTTGCCCCACTGTTTCTTGCCTCTGAGAACTTGCTGTGCTCATAGGGCTGGTCCCTCACATTTGCTGCAGGCTGCAAACCCCATGCTGAAGGGGTGCTGGGAGCCTGGAAGTGCCCGGGGCTCCTGCTTGCCATGGGATGCAAGAAATGGGGTGCAGGTTTAGGTACAGCAGATGCAGCTGGCGGGGTCCCTGCTTCACTCTGTTATGAATAGTTGGAGCCCAGGTGCCTGGAGGTTGCTTGACTTTGGGGGCATTCCCAGCCACGCGTGGGATGGAAGTGATGGACCGCAGCCCTCTCGCACCGTGGTGGGACGAGGCTAGAGGCAGCTTCTGCTCTGGGTATCGGTATTAGATGGCGCAGCAGAGAAATAAGCCCATAAGTGAGCCAGACTGCAACCCGTGTATCCCGTTGCAGCAGTTGCTGTGCCATCCTCATCGTGCTGCTGCTGGAAGGGCACTGAACTGCGGTCCTGCATGTTGTCACCTTAGCATTTCCTCTGCAGGGACACTGGGGACAAAGTGTAACATCCTCCCAAACAGGGTTATTTGCAGACAAGCTGGATGGCTTATAAGCAGGGTGACGATAGGGACAGCCTGCAGTGCCCCGGCCCTTTGGGTCTGCTGCGAATCCTTGCCTGGTCTGGAGCAGGGCAGATGCTAACATTTATTCACAACCTGTTTTCCCTCCTTGGTCTCGGCCAGCAATTCTCTATCAGGGAGAGGAATTGCTCTGTTCATTTTCTGCACTTGAAACACGAGTGAAAACTAAAGAGCTGGTATTTCCAAGCTGAGAAAAATTGAGCGCTACCGATCTAGGCCGTTCACAGCAGGTCCCCGTCTTGCTTGGGGCCCTGTCTGTCCTTGCAATACAGCAATACTATTCTCATGTTCCTCTGGGGGGGCGTTGAATTTTCTTCCTTGTGTTGTGTGTTTTTCCAGCAGTGCCGGGGGGTGGCTTTTTTTCCCTGGATGCTATTCACCACCCCCGCCCCCGGAAAAGAAGTAAAGACTTGCTTTGCTTGATGCAGGTCATCACAGCTACTGCCTCGTGCATCCAACTGTGGAGTTTAGTGTCAAGTGCCCTCCATCTCCCTGGCTCTGATTCACTGGCTAAAATAAAAGCCACCCCCCTTCTTCCAATTCAGTTGTCGCCCGGGCTAGCACGGAGATATTGTGAAACGTTTTGAGGGCAAGACAAAGCACCTGACTTGCTGTCAGGAGGCTGGAGGGGTGAAGCACTGCTGTTCAGATCTGGCAGGGCATGGTAATCGAGACTTGGCCCGGAAGACTTTTGAAGCAAGGAAACAAAGGTTAGGGAGAGGAGACGATGTGGAGGGGCTGGGAGAGGAAAGGGAAGCCAGCGTGTGGGGGCTGGGCTGGAATTTGAGAGGGCATCTCGGCAGCTGGAAGGCTGCATTGACAGTGTTTAGAAAGGGGATAAATATCCAGGGGCCCAATGGCTCAGCTAGACGTTGTTCCCATTGCGGTTCGGCATGGGAGCAGCTCCTCATGCACTGCGAGGCTAGGGCAGGGCTGGCGCTGGCTTGCAAGAGAATTGCATGCGGAGAAAGACGTTTTTGGGAGCACCGGGCTCTTTAAAAAGCTGCTTTATGTGGGGGGGTGCTGATGCAAGGTTGGCTTCAAAACTTGGGGCCATCCAGCACCGCTTGGTTGTAACCAGCTCTGCTGGTTTTCACTGGATCTTTCTAAAAACAGCCCCGGTCCCACTGACATGACGGGTCTGGGCCCCTGTCCTGAAATCGCTTGCCTGCGATGGGGCCCACGGACTTTCTCGTGGGCTCTTTGCCATGGGAATACATTTTTGGAATCTGTGCTGGACGCCTTGTCCTTCTCGTCTCCCAGCTGCTTGGAGTCCGGTCTCCTGGGATAGTCATTTCTCTGGTTCTGTGAGTAGAATGTGGTACCCGTCCCTCTGGAGGGTCTCCAGGAGGGCTGGTCCAGGAAATCGAGCTGTTCCTTGGTTTTAAATATCTTTCCTGAGCCGGGGAAATGGAGCAGAGTGAAACCCGGCTTGGTGAAACTGCGGTAGTTTTCTGCCCTCTTCTGCACAGGTGTTGCTTTCTTGGTATCACCCCAATCCCTTGAGGGGCAAGGCGAACTCACTTCCGATGCTTCTGGACAAGAACTGTGAAGGCTAAGAGAGCTCTTCAGGAGTAGAAATACCATCAGGGCGCTGCAATTAGTCTAAAAACTTGGAATAAATTTTAAACTGGAAAGAAATCGGAGCCGCTAAAGGAGTGGGACTGCATGGATGGGGTTTCTAGATGAACTTTGCTCTACCCTTGTTGAATCATAGAAAATGAGGGTGGGAAGGGGCCTCAGGGGGTCGCATCTAGTCCAACTCCCTGCACAAAGGAGACCCAGCCCCAACTACATCATCCCAGCTGAGGTTTTGTCAAGCCAGGCCAAGGATGGAGGATGCCACCACCTCTCTAGGTAACCTGCTGCTTCACTGCCCTCCTAGTGCGAGAGTTTTTCCTAATATCCAACCTAAACCTCCCTTGCTGCAACTGGAGCCCATTTGCTCCTCATGTCCTCATACTGCTGT